GTGACCTGCTAATTACAACGTGACTTAAGTAAGCATTAGAGATAACATACAATAAGATGGTTGCACATATTTAGACCAGTAGTGAATGACTTTGCTTGGGATACATTGTAGACTCTGTACAGACAGTAAAGGGATAAATAGTGTGGACAAAGAAGGGATCTTCAGATTTGGTACTGTGTTCTCATCTTGTACTGGTTTTGCTATTCTCCTTAGCCAAGCTCCAATAAATATTGCTGTCTAAGAAATCCTGAGTTTCCTGAAACCTTCTTCATCAAGAGTTGACCAGCTCACAATGTAATGGTTCCCCCCTGGAATCCTCTCTGGTGTCTCTATCCTGAACCATTCCACCTTCTATGGTGGAAAGGTTTTGGGTGGTAACAAGAACCCACAGGGAGGGTTCTACTGTGATATTTCATGGATTTTACCTGGAACCCACCCAAGGGGGTTCTACCAAGTGCCTTTTTATATTCCAAGGGTTTCATCTAGAACACATGTGACAAACTCAAGGCCCGCGGGCCCAATCCGGCCCACCACGCCATTTTTTGTGGCCGAAAGCTTTAAAGATTCATGATTCTCCTGAAATAAAAGTATATGCTGCCATTAAATACATCTCCCACAATGCATGTCGATTTTGTGACCCGAGAAGTGATGGCATCCCGCCACTAGATTGCGATGTTTCCACACCCACTACGGTAGTTTTCCGACAAGTGGAGATGAGAAATGTATACAAACAATCCCTAAATGTCCAAGACGAGAAAAAATGATGCAGAAGGAAGGCAATTTCATGAATGGTGGGAAAGTGAATACATGTTTGTGCTTCAACGAGAAAACCCGGTAGGCTAGGCCTATGTCTTTTGTGTTATGAGGCAGTATCAGTGATGAAGGATCGATGTTGGTTAAGGCTCCTGCAGACTACACGACTTTCAGCGTCGGCCGATGGCCGTGCTATTCAGACTACACAACTTGCCGTCTTGTGATGGGAGTCTTGAAGTCGTCGTGCCGTTCACACTACGTGTCTGATCGTTGACAGGGGGACACACTACACTAGCGGACAGCGACTGTGTCACCCGACGCTGGTCTCCAAACCACGTTTTGTCAAGAAAACACATGTTAAACAGAAACGGATTGTCTGAGCTACAGAGAGAGCTGGAGGGGAGTAAAATGTGTTTTGTGGTGAAAAGTAGCTGCCTGCTCTGCCAGCTGCCTGCTCCCATTGGCTGGATGTGGATGTCGATTCAGCCGACTCTTCCAGATATTTGGCATGCTAGATATCTGGCAGACGTCGGCGATGTGTCAGAAATGTTTCGGGGAGCCGTTTTGATGCGTCGTGTAGTTCACGCATAACGACCAAGCAGCAAATCAGGCTAAGAATTGTGTAGTGTGCGTTTTTCCAGGTAATCAAACTGTCTCTCATTAGTAGGATGTATGCCCTCTGCAAGGCTGTGTGCAGCTGGACTATTTGTTTTATCACATCTGTCCCTCATGTTATTAGCAGCTCAAAATGATTTGTTTTACCATGGTTCTGCACCTCTGGACTGTGAAAAAGTGAAAAGTTACTGTAAAAGCTTATGTTGTGAATGTCCTTAACTTGAATACATAATCAAATAAAGAGACAGTTATTTAACAATATGTTAAGGAGTAGTTACATTTGCCTTACAGTTGCAACTGGCCCTTTGAGGGTAACCGTAATGCTTATGTGGCCCTTGGTGAAAATGAGTTTGACACCTCTGATCTAGAACTAACCCATGGGTTGTAGTGAGAACAGGGGGGTGAAATCTGACCAGTGATGACATTTTAGCCGCATGTCATCATTTCACTGCTGGCTGTCGCGGTGGTGTCCAGCAAATTATGTGGGGCTTTGTAGATAACTGGCGGACTTTCTGGGGAAGACCTGGTGTGATCAGGCAGCATTAAACAACATTCATCCCACTTTGGATGAAGCAGCTTTCATATCTAGAAATGTTTTTAGAAGACCAAAACCATGCGCCACTATGAGGTCAATGAATGCCATTTTTTGCCTGAGTAGTGGGTGGAATTTGCAACCCAACTAGCAATTTTGGTGAGTTTTCGTCCAGCAGTTTTTGCTTCCCAAACACTTTTAGTGGAGAAAAAGAAAAAGAAAAAACAAAAACATAAATGTTTTTAGCAGAGCTTCACTACTCAGATCCCTAATAATGCAGTGAGGCTCTCAGGCATTCCTTATTGCTTTTAAATACACTGCTCAAAAAAATAAAGGGAACACTAAAATAACACATCCTAGATCTGAATGAATGAAATAATCTCATTAAATACTCCTTTCTTTACATAGTTAAATGTGCTGACAACAAAATCACACAAAATTATCAATGGAAATCAAATTTATCCACCCATGGAGGTCTGGATTTGGAGTCACACTCAAAATCAAAGTGGAAAACCACACTACAGGCCGATCCAACTTTGATGTAATGTCCTTAAAACAAGTCAAAATGAGGCTCAGTAGTGTGTGTGGCCTCCATGTGCCTGTATGACCTCCCTACAACGCCTGGGCATGCTCCTGATGAGGTGGCAGATGGTCTCCTGAGGGATCTCCTCCCAGACCTGGACTAAAGCATGGATGGAGCGAGACATGATGTCCCAGATGTGCTCAATTGGATTCAGGTCTGGAGAACGGGCGGGCCAGTCCATAGCATCAATGCCTTCCTCTTGCAGGAACTGCTGACACACTCCAGCCACATGAGGTCTGGCATTGTGTTGCATTAGGAGGAGCCCAGGGCCAACTGCACCAGCATATGGTCTCACAAGGGGTCTGAGGATCTCCTCTCGGTACCTAATGGCAGTCTGGCTACCTCTGGCGAACACATGGAGGGCTGTGCAGCCCCCCAAAGAAATGCCACCCCACACCATTACTGACCCACCGCCAAACCAGTCATGCTGGAGAATGTAGCAGGCAGCAGAACGTTCTCCACGGCGTCTCCAGACTCTGTCACGTCTGTCACATGTGCTCAGTGTGAACCTGCTTTCATCTGTGAAGAGCACAGGGCGGCAGTGGCGAATTTGCCAATCTTGGTGTTCTCTGGCAAATGCTAATTGCCTATAATTTCCACCTGTTGTCTATTCCATTTGCACAACAGCATGTGAAATTTATTGTAAATCAGTGTTGCTTCCTAAGTGGACAGTTTGATTTCACAGGAGTGTGATTGACTTGGAGTTACACTGTGTTGTTTAAGTGTTCCCTTTATTTTTTTTTAGTCTCCCCTCCACTTTTTGTCTTTGTTTGGGAAATTAACCTGATTGTGGTACCTTCAGAATCTCTCCCACAATTCTGTGTTCTCTGACGTGTCGAGAAAAAATATTTTTACTACGTGCCCTATACTTTGCTGTGAATTACGTTGCATTACATTGCTTTACTGGTAGTTTCCCCTTCAGATCGTCTGACAGACATAGAACTGGATGGTGGAGGTGCCAAGGAGGTGCTCAGGGGTAAAACAAAACTAACCGACAATATAATCTAGGTTTGGAAAGTAAACCAAACAGTGCTAGCCTTCCATCATTTACAACCAGTGGAGCTGCTTAGTGGCCAGCAGATCAGGCTGTGGTTGTACTGGGCACTTTCCAGGTATGAATGTGATCCTGCAAAAGAGAGGCTTCCTATCAGTGAAGCTCCCCTGAATAAATAAAGGTTTAAAAAAAAAGGACAGCTCACAGTCCCAAACAGAGCAAGTTTGTGCCTCAGTTTTTAACGTTACATTTTTATATTGAAACTCTTCATGTCACGTTACCCCTTGGGCACAAACTAGCCGTGACTGACACTGCAAGGTGCATCCACTTGATTACTCTCATGGCACTTGCAGGTGTCGCATTAGGTGCTGGATGTTGGATGCAAATTTGACAGTGGAATATCCCTCTTGTAAATGTGTAAAGACTGCGATAAGGCGTTCACAGTGTATCCCTCAAAGAAATGAACGGTTTTAAGAATACATTTTTCAACGGTAATACCAAGAAAGAAAGTGTCTATTTTACTGAGTTTACACAGTTAATGCCATGTTGCTGAAATTTTACAATTGATACTCTGACTTCCTGTTTCCGTGAAGGTACCACAGAGCTGCACCACAAGCCGCTGACAGAAACATTGAAGAGTCAAAGAGTTTCCATACACACCGTCTCATCCAGCCGCAGTGCTGGTTTTAATGTTGCAGACCACAGTTTTTTGCAAGTAGTTGAAAGTTTAAACTCGTATTGTTGCGATTATTTGGTGTAAACTCACCTGAAACTTTCACCTCAACAAACACTCCCAAAAAGCACCTCAACGCCCCCCTTGCCCCTGTTGAGAGACACTGATCTAAGCCATCAACCTGCCTCTTAGACCCCACACCAACTAGGCTGCTTAAAGAAGTTTTACCATTAGTCAGCATTTCTTTACTAGACATGATCAATTGGTCTTTATTAACAGGTTATGTACCACAGTGCTTTAAAGTAGCTTTAATCAAACCTCTTCTTAAGAAGTCCACTCTTTATCCAGGTGTTTAGCAAACTATTGACGTATAACCTCTAACTCCTTTTTCTCTAAGATCCTTGAGAAAGCAGTCACCAGACTGCTGTAAGACTTTCTACATAACCACTAGTTTATTTTCAGTCAGGGTTTAGAGTGCATCATAGCACAGAGACACTACTGGTGAAAATTACCTGAGCTTGAAGTAGAAAAAAAAGTGCAAGTACTCCCATTATTCACATGTGCACATGTGTTTTGGCCAGTATCAGCAAATCTTTAAGTATAAAGATGCAAGGAGATATTGCTGTATGAAAATGAGTTGTGAACCAGAATTATCCTTAAATACAGTTTCTTTAAGTTTCTACAACTGTGAGCAGTAGCAGAGCTTCAATAAATACACATAAGAGAAATTCATAATTAAAAATGTTAAGGTGAGTTTATACACAAAAATTGAATATAAGTTTTTATTTTTATTTTTTTGACCTCAAGTATATATAGTGAGAGCAGTTAATGGAAGAGCAGAGTAACTCACAGCCAGGTAAAGTGCAGCATAGACACTGAGTGCAGCCTCCTTGGATGGGAAGGTCTTGCGGGCATGCAGGATGTCATCCTGGTTTCCTGTGCAGGCCTCCTGGTGGCTGATGTAACGCAGGGTCTGCTGGCAGCCCAGTGCCGTGTAGTTTGGCTTACAGACAGTCAGGAAGTAGGGTGCCAGGTTCCCTGTCACTACCTGGCCTGCGTTGACAAAGATGTCAACAGTGAAGAGGCCAAAGGTGTAGACTCCTGTGAAGAAAAAAGACGTTAAGAAGGAGGACGGATGGGACAGATAGAGCTACCTTCAGCAGCAACGCTGGTGGTATAAAGAACGAAAAGGTGGAGCTAATTAAAAATACTGAGCTCCTCATCACAGATTAACATGCAAAAGTTTACCTGTCAAATTACAGTTCACCATTAAGATCCATTAATCTCCAGATAATCCAATACCATATTAGCTTCAATTTAAGATTAGAAAATTCTGTTTTTTTTAATTATATTCCAGAACATGGTCACAACTTTTTCAATGGGGAGAGTACTGGCTCCTACATACAGTGTTGCATTATGGGTTGCCTGTAGCCTTATGTTGCTTTTAAATTCCTTGTATGATGTCTTTTAGCCAGCACTAAAAGGGTTTTGTTAGACTTTTTTTAACCTACAAGTTTTCGAAAAGCTTGTAGAAAACGTTTTGGAGGAACAAAAACACTTTTCGTTTGTCTCAGTTCTCACATCCCCCACCCACCCACCAAACCCTGTTTCTCTCCTCTTCCAATGGGCAGCACGTTGGCCCAGCAAAAAGGTCCTGGCTTCAGACCTTGGTCATCCCAGGTCTTTCTGTGTGGAGTTTGCATGTTCTCCCTAAGTTTGTGTGGATTTCCCCCGGGCGCTCCGGTTTCCTCCCACAGTCAAAGACATGCACGCTAAAATCCATAACTCCACCAAAGTAATTTTTTTTTTCTACCACAGGAGGGACCCTAACGTAAGACGCTTACAAAGACATGCCCCCACTCTGAGTCTCGACCCCCAGGTTCCTAGCTGCTTTGGCCACCACAACTCGAGCAACCCCCTTCATCCCTACCTTCTCACCACTTCACCCCTTCCCCCTGAACATTTTCAGCCCTCCCCTCTCGACCCCTCAATCCTTTCCTTCCCGAACCTTCTCGCTAACCAAATAAACTGCCTCTTGTACCTCAATTTTCATGGTCTCAGTTAATTATGTACTGCAGAGGTTTTCAAAGTGTGAGGCGGGCTTCCCCAGGGGGGTTCCAAACTGTTTCAGAGGAGGCTCAGTTAATGGAAGGGAAACAATATTAGTTATTACATTAATTATCAAGAAGACATTACAGAGAACAGCCTACATGCGTGTGATTTCGTTAAAGAGAGAGTTCAGTAGTACAGTAGTTTTGGGGAACTGTTTTTCTCTCTTACTAATAAATGCCTTTAGGACAAACCTTTTCATTTATGTATTGTGTGTAGTCTGAAGTTATGTCAAACAGCAATATTAAGCTATCTTGGATTGTTGAGTGGGACAATGATCCAGGAATTGAGCAAAACTAAACTAAGTAATCTAAGGGGAGGTGAGGGGAGGCCCACAGTCTCAGACTTTGAAAACCTCTGATGTACTGTATAAGTTTCCAATTATATCTCTACAATGACTTAGAACATATCTGATAGGGTTTGTGAATTTACAGTGAATGTAATCATTTTTTTCTCACGTGTAGTCTACTTTCTTATGTCACTATAATATAATAGTTTTAATGGATTTGAGGTATACATTGCAACTTTTTTTTAAAGTTTAATATGTATAATATAGTACTATTATGTTGTATTGTAGCTACTTAGTGGGTTTTTATGTTTCTCCAGTATTCATTTAGTTAACTAGTAAGAAAAATATTTGTTGATGACCTGTTTTTTAAATAAATGAGACAGACGAATGACCAAATTAACTAACTGTTTTAAAGCAAAGTCTTATACAATAACCTGCATGCATCTGCAGAATCACTGTAGCTCCTGATTAGTAAAATAGTTCATCTAGCAGCTAGACCTGTTGCACTACCGTTCATAAGAAGCATCTTGCATTCTGCTATGTTCTGTCTTTGTCAGTAATGTCAGTAATTGATGTTTAAGGAAGAAACAGATGAACTAAATTTATATATAATCCACTGAGAAATATTCAAGACGCAACAACAAAACAGGTGTGACAAACTACAAAAGCCAGCGACTTCATACTTTGAAAAATATGAAATAATACAACAAAATGGCCAGACCGTTCTCATCTCAGTGCGTCATTACCGACACTTTCAGACAGCGTGACAAAGCGTAATTATTTGACGCTAAAGGTACCCTTCAGCGTCTGTGTGAGACCCTCTAGGGCATCTCGTACAGACCGGAAGTGCTAGCTAGCTACGTTCATGTTAAAGGTGTTGACAGCCCCCCGAAGCCCCCTACCCTTACCATAACCATCAGAAATGTTTGTGCCTAAACCCAAACCTCACGGGCGATGTGCTAGCATGTAGGGTTAGCCCCCTTTGTGTTGCTGTGACATAGCAAACTGTAGCGTTTCATACCGTTTCATAAATAACTGCACTTTTTCTGAAAGCGTTGGTTGGACGCCCTGAGATGGCCATTTTGTTATTGTTGTTGTTATTATTTCACATTTTTCAAAGCATACTATCAGTGTGCGAACTATACCATGGCTTTAATGAATTAAATTATTATTATGATATGTAGCTATTTGCTACAGTTACGCTTCACACAACCGCTGTTTGCGAACTGTCCTTTATTTTCTATGTGAGAGGGAAGAAGAATTTTGCGGAGAGCCCCCAGCTGCAGTACTGCATGGATCATGCATAATATCCAGCCAGACGGAACTATCACGAACTGCTTACAGCGCGTCGGCCGTACTAGCGACACAACCCGTACCGGAGAGGGAGAGGGGCGGTGGAGCGTACTGGACAGGAGATCACGGTGCGATCGGCCATCTGCGGACAGTCAATAATCGTCCCCTCTGGCTGGATGAAGTCTGACTGAATTTATGCATGGATTCATGATGATAGAGAAATATATAGAAATTAATGGCAATAAAGCATACTGTCAATATTTTAGAACCCCCCCAAAATATCACAAATCATGCTTTTAGGGGAGCTAAGCTCCCCATGGCTCCCCCGTAGTTCGCACCCTGCGTACTATGCTAATTAACAATAATGCAGAAGCAGTAGTTATTTTTGTATCCCACAAAATAAAAATAAAAACTTTAGGCATTTAAAATGATAATTTATCTATATAACAGAAACTTCTGAGTCAGTGTATCCTGCTGCCTCTCCTCTCCCTCCTAGAAAAGACACATTGTGTTTAGACACAAGCAGAGTGCTCTGTAAAATAACAAGGACGGACATAAATCATTCAACCAACTTGTATTTTCAGTGTGAATGATTCCTTCTAACACCAGACGAAGCCTGCACATCTTTCAGCAGATATCTGCTGTTCCTGACGCTGCACTGTCTACAGGGGCATCTCCGTACCAGCTGCTCACCCATACCAAACACACACACGCACACACACACACACACACACACACACACACACACACACCACACACACACACTTTGTGTCAGTCACCCAGGTGCCACAGTCTATTCATACTGCTCTTAACCAGCCAGGCTTTATGTCTCAGTGAGCGAAGGGCTTTAACACAAATAATTGCTTCCCTCCCACGAGAGCCCGGACCTGTGTCACACTAAATTACCAAATAGGCGCTTAGTCAGACAACTCTATCTCACACACACTGAGAGAGGTGTCCACCACGTACACTTCCAGGATGCATTATTTGCTGGGGCAACAATCGCGGCTTTACCAATCACTGTCAAGTGTGCTACTGCAAACTAGTCCAACCCAGGCTTTGAAGCGCATTCAGCTTCAAGACATTCATGAAAATGGGAAGCGAGGCATCATGGCTGCTGAGCACGGCACGTATTTCTTCTTCTATCAGACAAATTCTTGTTAAAATGATGAAAATTAAATGTCGCTGTCTAATTCATTGCCGTTCCTTTCTCATTCCTTATCAGCCACAAAGCAGCACTGTGAGGCTCCAGATGATGACAGGTCCATTTCTTAACAACCATCAAATAGGTTTTGTCTAGTGCTGGGTGACTCACTTGCAGAGCGCTCTCCACACAGCACATCTTAATGCTGTCCCACTTTCTCTGACACGAATGTGGAAATGTTTTACGGACGACTTCCACTTGCTAGCTAACCCCCCACACCCACCCCTGTCTGGCTTTGGGAACACAGAGAGGGACAACCAAAATTGCTTATTAGGGCATACATCTAACTCAGTTTGCCTGCTTCAAACAGTGTCATGATCTGCTGCAGAGCCACTGTGTAGCCATGCGTGTGTACTGTATGTGCTCTAGAGTCTAAGTACACATGCTTATTGGGTGTATGTGATACTCCTGTCTCTCTGTGTATATACGTGTGTGTGTGTGTGTGTGTGTGTTGGATGGTGAGCGGGGTTGAAGCAATGCACCTCTTCTTTGATCTGGTGCCAGCGTCTTCACAGTGCTGCAGTGTAATGCTCAACCACAACAGTCTTAAAGTTATCACAGTTTTCCCAGAATCCCTGTGTGTTCACAAACACTAGAAACCCTGGGCTGTGTTCTGTTAAAATGTTTAATGTATGAATCAGACAAAGATTGAACTTTTTTTTGAACGTTTTTTCCGTTTGAGCGCTCAATTAGAATCAGTTAGTATTTACAGTACACAACACTGGCAGTAAAGCCTGTTAATAACAGTGATTGTGAAATGAGAGAATACGATTTTAATCAAGATGAAATGTTCTTAGGAGCTGCTTTTGTAGTTCAGTCTGGAGAAGGGTGATCCTGGTATTTCCTGAGAATTCTTGCCAAAACCCACTCCCTTTTCCTGGGAAGAATACCAGTGAAATTTTAGTGTGCTTGTGTGTCTTTGTTCACCTGAGTGTTGGTCCCTCATTGGCTGAAATTCCACTTTAAAAGTATCAGATGCTTTCAAATTAAAAAAATTATTCAGTTCTTCTCATTACAAGACAAGGAATCATTGAGTTTGATGATGGTTAAATGGTTTTAATTAGCTACTCCACAGAGCACTTTATCATCCACACTGTGAGGGTTGGACTAAAGCGCTATGTTCATGTTATTTCCTCCCAAAGCCTGTGTCATAACTAATTTCAATCTAGTGTTTGGGGGCTGAGTAACTTCCACATTCACAATACC